GTGTGTGCGAGTTGGCAGATTATATAAATTGATGTTGAAGCCTCTTGGGCTGCAACTTGAGAAGACCAGACATCAGCGGAATCGAAGAATCTTCCACAACAAAGAACACAGAGCATGCCAAAGATGCAAGCACAATGGCAAAGGAAACGCTAAATGTCGGTTAAAAAACGAGGAAATTCAAAATTTAGCATTAGGTGGAAAGAATTGGAGAGATGAATTCTTAGGAACTAATGAGCAGGAAGTGGCAAATGATTCACAAAGTCTGACGCAGTTAATGTGCTCTAGAAAACGTGTTTACCCAACAAATGGAACATTTGTTTAATATTGGCGCATGTGTGTAAACATTGGTTAAAAAAAAGTAAACCAGAGCCAAGGTAAAATTACTGAAAAGTAGAACCCTCGACTGGAATTTTGTGGATAATAACTTCAAAGCAGAACTCTTTGAGTAAATATTTGTTTAGTAATTGCAAACCACTAAGCACCATTAATTCAAAAAAGCTTGGGGAACGCTTGTAATTTTATTGGCCATCATTTTTTTTATTTGCCCCATGGTGCAGCATCTTTTTTCTGGTTATGCCTTTTTTCTGCTGTTTCCGTTATCACTTTGCTGCTTTGTCAACTCATTTGGCTCAGAACTTTGGTCATTCGATACCTTTTGAGTGGGAGTTGGAGGCTCCAATGGCTTCCAAACTGTAGGTTTGCTTTGCCAAAATGCCAAACAAAAATGTTCCAAATTTTAAGGCATAAAAAATTTGCTGACACTAATGAGACCATAAATGTATAGAGCTCGACCATGCCACCAAGTTTCCCGTGGTTGGGGGAAAAAATCCAAAAACCAAAACAAATCCAAGCCGTGACTTTAGCGGCAAACTAAAAACTGCAGACTGCAAACTTTGAGTTGGTTGCGACTCTAATTGCGGCAATAGAACGAGATTATAGCTACACCGAAAAAATTGAGATAATTGATTTGGAAACTGTTTTTGGCAAAGAAACCTAACCACAGAAATCTTTGACAATTTTATGCCAATTGCCAAAGTATGTAAAAGTAGTTAGACAATGAAATCTTATTTAAGGCTGCCATACTACTTAAAATGAACTCCAGAGATAAATAAATTGTGATATTTTAATTGGTAGAACCGCTTATAAAATTACATTTTCGATATTTATCGATATGAGATATTTTCGATGGAAAGTTATTGAGAAGTTTTTATACTTTAAACGTTTAAAGTTTAAACATCGGTTTCATTAAGAAAAATAAAAAATTCACATTTTTCCGTGTAGAAAAACAACAGATGGTCGGCGACCCACTTCCATGCTTGGAGGCTGTCCAGTCCATCGGACTGGCTGTTTACTTTTTGCTGGCACTGTTTACGCTTACCTGCCGCTATTTCCCTCTCGTTTTGCTTTCAATCAACGAGAAAACAATTGCAGCAAATGCAGCAACAAGTCCAGCATCACCATCAACTACTGTTTGACAATTTATCAATGATGTCTTTTGTTGCTGCTCGCATTGTTGTTGGCCGAGTCGCCTCGGGCTCTTGCGAGTATTTCTTATTGGAACAGGAAGTCGCTTATTTGCTGGCAGCAAGTGCACAGCGCCCATTACACATCGCATTGACATTTACTTGAGTTCTCGCATCTGAGCTTGACACTCACTACTCACTCGGCGCTCTAGTGGCTCTCCAACTGTGCGACTAAGTACCTTTCATGCAGATTGGCGTTTGCAGTTGAATTGAATTGAATTATTCCAACCGCGCTTGGTACCCATTGACTCTTCAACTGTTTGTGATTGGGTCTTTAATTTTGAAAATAAATATGTTTTATGTTGGTACTTGACCTGATTTAAAATTGAATTTTACGGATGCTTTTAACTTTACGATGGGAAACCATTAAAGAAACATTTTTCATTAGTTTCTAACTATTCATTTATCTTCTTCTTTTAGTCTTTTTCAGGTTGAGCTTAGCATGTTATGCTTTAGCTCAAATACATATATATTTTATTCGCATGAAATACTTTTGAGGAAATAGATTCTATGGCAAATTTACTGAAATTGTGCAGCTAATCTTGTTTTCTTTTCAAGCGTTTAATCTATTATAATCGCTTGAAAGCTATGGTAAATTAAATTAATTTATCTACAGATTCGTTCTTACGTTTCAGACACGTTCTTCTCGTTATAAATGACTTCAAAACTAATTTCATCGCTCTCAAACTGCCTTGCTACAAATTCTACCAGACTTTCAAACTTTACAAGCCGTCTCTCAAACTGTGCAATATTGTAAATTTCATGCAAATTGCAATTTGTTTCTATACCCTTCGGAGGGCCATTGGGTCTGCTGGTTATGTTACTTGCCTGCAGTTGCAATTCCTCCATGATTTATGGACATTGCCCCACCACCTTCCACCTGCCCCTTCTCGTGCTGCCACAAAAATACAACCGAATATGTCGAATACACATTCCGCCTGCTCCACTTTGTTGCAGCCGAAGTGAATTTATGGCCACCGTACAGCAGCCAACATAGTCGCACAGAAAAAAACCCCAAAATGAGCAAAAACAGTTTGAAAAGTGCTTTAAAGCCAAAAAGTGTGCACAAGTTCTAAATTACTTTTCCAAACAGCATCCGCATCGCCCCTTTTTGTAATCCCCACCGAATGTCGACGCTATTTTATGAGCCGTCTTACGGATTGGAAAATCGAAATCAAAACTCATAAAAATGCAATTTGCGCAAACAACTTGACTCTGAGCATTCCCTTCGGCCAGGAGGGCAACCCCCAAATCCGAAAGTTGGAATCCCTTCCTGCCCTTCTGCTCTTTTTATGCCCTTACTGAGGGTATTGTAATCTTGGAGAGAAGTTTGTAATGGCATGGAGATTTTGTTTAAAAAAGGAGTTCCTTATTGTGTATTTTGTTGATATAATTCACCAAAGAAATCTCAAATTGGTTTAACTGTCATTACGATATTTTCGATGGGCAACTAGATTAATTTACATTGTTTTCAAATTTAAACTATTTATTTTTATAATGGCTCCCATAACTTTTAATTAGATTATATTTCACAATATTTATTTAAAAATCCTGATTAGGGTTTCATTCAATTAAAATACCGTAAGGAAAAAAAGGAGATAAGAATGAAATGTAATGCAATTAAAAAGGTTTAAGGGTATTCTGCAGTAGTACTTTAGAGTAGAAGACCAGGAATAATTCTTTTGTAAGGTATTTAAGTCTTCGGTCTCAACAGCTATCCATACCTTCCTTGTTTTTGTTGGGGTCTAGGCCAGCGACGTGTCTGCAATTTGCATGTGCATGACTGAGACTGTAACTGAGACCCAGGGTGCCAAAGGATGAGGGTTGGAGAAGCCGCCGGGGGAATGGGAGCGGTCCAAAGGGCAGAGGATTGAGGGTGGCGCCATAAAATCCATTTGGCGCACAGCCGTTAACGTGTTTTGTTGTTTCGAAAGGGAGTTGGGGATGGGAAATATGACTGGTAGGGGGAGTAACTGCTACTTGGGGGCGTGTTAGTTTGTGTGGTTGAAATTTATGTACCCAAGGGTGGGTGGCTTTATGAAGAAGGGGCTGCTGCATATGAAACCGGGGATCCAACTATATAAACAAAGTCTCGGAAACGTGACTGGAAAGAAAAAGTGCATGTAGCCGGAATAGCATTCAGATATTGCCTTGCTATATGCAAATAAGCTGTAACTTGTTGGTTTTTATTTAAGAATTTTAATAAAAGACCAGGATCTAAAGTTCTGAATAACAATAAGCAGTAATATTATCTGACTAAGATTTGATAGGTATTATTTAATTAAGTTTTTTCATTTGTTGAACGCATAGTTTTTTTTAGACTATGACAATATTATTATTAATCATCTATTTCTATTCCCAACTCAAACCATTAACCACTTAAATGTGATCAAATATGCGAAAGCATCTGGAAAACTACTCTGGCGAAACTATCGACTATCAAGACAATGCATTATCATAGTTAATTGGAAGAAAAGCCCTTTGCCATTTCCCCCACACCGTTTTCCTCCACCAATTACCCCCATTTTCCACACATCTGGCTAACACCCAAGAATAGGGATCCACGAGACAAACTGTTCACTTTAATGGCAACATTTGGCACATTATGAGGCAACATGGAACTGCCTTCGGAGGCACTTAAGGGCGTGGGGAATAAAAGGCAAATAGAACACGGAAAAGCGGTAAGCAACACACAGACTCGTGTGTGCACACACGCACTTTGCATAATTAATGCAGCGGCAATGTCAAACCCGTTATACACTCGAGACATTTTCTGGGAGTCTGTGCATCATAGACCGACTTTTCCGGGGTGGCAAAGGGAACTGGGGAAAATGGAGCGGTGGTGCTGGGAAATTTTTTTGTTTAATTAAAACGAGAAATTGCCACTTAAAGGCAACGGTGAATTATGAATGCCAGAATGTCTGTTGGGGTCTGGATGTTGGTGGTCCTATAGTCCTATAGTTGGCGCTGCAGTCACGCGCTCATTAGCGAGGACATTGTAAAGGATACAACACATATACACAAAAGCAGGCAATACTCATTTGTAAACTGGGAAAAATTTGTAATTTATTAGATATTATAGAATTTGAAATACACAATCGAATATTAGGGGTAATGCATATTTAAGTTTATATATATTATGTTTTAAGAAAGAGAGAAAGACAAACTAAAGATAAAACCTATGATACAACATATCATAATATATATACAACATGATCTAATGTATCAACAATCCACAATTAGAATTGTTTAGGGATTTCAACCAAGAGTTCTAAAGTTCTTCTTCAGCAAATAAATATTCTTAGTTTTTTTCTGGCAGTGTTTTTATATGTGCATAAGTACAAGGAGGAAGTTGAGCAATTGCTAGGCCGGAAGTCTTTTGTAGGACTCGCACGACTTGAGCACGTCAATGGCGCACCTGATTCAGCAGTGTACACACGTACTTAAATGTCTCCCACCTCCTTGTTTTTTTTCCAGGAGCTCAAGGAGAGCTTCAACTATGGCCTGTTTGCCCCACCCGCAAATGGGAAGGCGGGAAAATTCCTGGACGAAGAACGCCGCCTGGGCGATTATCCCTTCAACGGACCCGTGGGCTACTTGGAGGTAAGTCTGGCACGAGGCATTTTTTCACGTTTTCCTCTAATTTATTTCTATTCCCCAAACCCTAGCTCAAGTACAAAAGGCGAGTGTACAAAATGCTGACCCTGGATGAACGCCAATTGAAGGCTCTACACACGCGTGCCAATCTGCGGCGTTTTCTGGACTGCATCAATGGCGGACATGTGGAGAAGATAGCCAAGATGTGTGCCAAGGGTCTGGATCCCAATTTCCACTGCTCGGAGAGCGGAGATACTCCGCTGACAGTGGCCACGGGAGCCAAGAAACCGAATAAGTTGCTTATTGCTCTGGTCAACGGTGGTGCTCTGTTGGATTACAGGACCAAGGATGGAACCACTGCTCTGCATCGAGCTGTGGAGCATGATTCCCTGGAGGCGGTTAGGTAAGGGGATAGCCTTATTTTTATATGCCAAAGATGCTTATTATTCTTTCAATATCTTTTAGTACCCTCCTCGAACTAGGAGCCTCGCCAAACTACCGCGATGGGCGTGGCATCACTCCCTTGTACATCTCCATCACCAGGAAGTGCGAGGCCAAGATCACGGAGAGCCTGCTGCACGACCATGCCACGCTGGGAATCCAGGACAGTCAGGGCTGGAACGAGGTCCATCAGGTGAGTCGGTGACGGTCCTTGACCCTGGCGATCCGTAACAGCAACCGCTTTGACCCCGAGCCAATCCCCGGTGAAATGGTGTTGGCCCAAAACCGTTGAACGCCAATTAATGATTGAATTCTCTTCTCTCTCTCTTCTTTCTTGAACTCTTCTTTTCTAACTCTATAAACAAAAACCAAACAACCAAAAAACAAAAATCAAATTCGCTTGCTAATACTTTGTAACCCGCGGGTTGGCATATGCATCTCTGCTGCATCCTTTGGCTGTCTCCGCCCACTGTTCACCCGATCGATCCGTAGGCCTGTCGGCACGGCCTGGTGCAGCACCTGGAACACCTGCTGTTCTACGGTGCTGACATGGACGGCCGCAATGCGTCCGGCAATAGTCCGCTGCATGTGTGCGCTGTTAACAACCAAGAGGCTTGTGCTAGAATGCTTCTCTTTCGCGGCGCCCAGCGCGGCGCCCAGAACTTTGCCAATCAAAATCCCTACCAGGTAAAGCCCAGTGTGTAGACTCTAGAGCCTACACAGAGAAAAATATCTAGCAAATCGGAATTCTGCAATAAAAGTTTTACGACAGGGAACTAAATTGAATTGGTTATGAGATACAATTTGGTGTCCATTAAGATTATAATAATATTAAACCCTATTAAAGTATTACAAGATTCAAACTAATATGTTTTTAGCCAATCTGATATATTTTTCGATAGTAAAATCGCATATAAACAAATTCAAAATGCAAAATATTTTCTCTGTGTATTCTCTGGAACCAAAAACTTACTGAATTTTGTTGATAACTTGTAGTGTGTAGTCTGTAAGTTGGTACTTTTGTGCTGCTGTAGTTATGCTTGTAGTTCAGTTTAGTAACTAAGTTAGTTTTTGATTTATTAACTTGGTTTGGTTCTTGGAATTCCGGTTTTTTAATCCAATGCTATTTCCCATAGGTGGCTGTCATTGCCGGCAACTTGGAGCTGGCTGAAATCATTGAAAACTACAAATCGGAGGATATTGGTAAGTAGTTGCCTATTTTAATATCACTCCATCATTCACCCACCTGAAAAACACTCGACTCGTACTCGCAACCGAACTAACTTCATACTCATCAAACTCAAACCAAAAATCCCATTCAAAAGGAAGGTGTTTCGGATTTGTTGGAGCACCTTCTTAATTTATACTTGTTTTTATTAAGATTTTTATTTGAAATTCGTTTGCTCTACTCAATCTATTTAATTCCGTATTATATTGGTCACATCCAAAAATAGTTTCCTTTTCCACTTAGTTCAAATCAGTTTTCCCCATGAGCTTTTTGTGCGTCTCACTTCATATATATATTTCTCTCTCTTTGAACACACTTGCATATCATCTATCAATCATTCAACAATCAATCAATCAATCAATCAATCAATCAATCATCCAAATTGATCATCTAGGTCTTTACCCCATATCAATGTATATTACTCGTATATATATATAAATATCTGTACTCCTTTTCAAATCTATATAAAGTGCAACCTATATTTTACCCAAACACTTTTTCGTATTTTGCATTTGCTTGTTTGAGATATTTGCTCCGTAAATGTATTCGAATCAAATAGTTTTGATAATGCCACACTCCAAATATTTTGGCTGTTCTTGTTCCATGTTTTGTTCAATGTTATTAGTGTTCTATCATACTTACCTACATATATCACATTTCCTAGTCAGTTTGTTATGTGGGCAGGACATTAGTAGAATGTCCTTCCATTTTTTGCTTTTTATCACAGTCGCTTAACCTTCGATAAATGGCAGTAAGTAAATGTAAGTAAAGTGTGTTAATAAATCCCCGGAATATTCATGTACTCTGTTTTGGCCTAGGGTTTTAGATTTTTGCTTTAATCCTTATTTTTATTATAAAATGTCCCAAACATAGATTGAGTAGAAAACGAACAGGATAGTGGGCATTGGGAAAAATTAAACTAAGTGCTAAAAAACTAAATTACCTTTTAAAATCAAGAATATAATTTGTGATTAATGTTTGCTCTGTAGTTGAAAGGTTTGTCTTAGACTAAATTATATTCCTGAGTGATGTTTTTTCTCGTATAAATTATATTCTTGGTTTTATAAGGTCTACTTCCCCAACAAAGTTTTCCGATGACAGCGAGACTTGACGACCAACTTTAACCGAAAACATTATGTCTACCCTAACCCAACCACCCCAACACCCAACCACCCCACCACTCCTCCTCCTTAACTCCTCCCAACCAAATCACACACATTTTAAGCGAATATCCTTGATCACCATACAGTTCCCTTCCGCGGACCGCCGCGCTACAATCCCAAGCGCCGCTCGGGCATCGGGTGGTTGAGCGCCAACGGAGCCGCCGGCGCAGCTCTGCTGGCAGCGGCTGGAGGTGGCTTCGGTGGTGCGATGGTCGGCTCGAATGGCGCCGCCAACGGAAACGGGGCTGGCGGTGTTGGTCTGATGCTCAGCCATCAGAACCACCAGCAGCACCTCGCCGGCCACCATCAGCATCAGCAGCAGCAACAGCATCTGCACCACCAGCACCACCACCAGCAGCTGCACCAGCAGCAGCAGCTGCCCCACCTGCACACGCTGCAGCTCCACGGCCCCCCCCTCGCCGTGCCCCTCGGAGCACATGCTGGGGGCCTACAGCTCCGCCAGCTCCAGCCTCTCCGAGGGCTCCTCCGGCCACCGCTCCCACGAGGACGACATCAGCATTGTGACAGGTGAGGAATGGCTTTGATTTTCGGTTCGACCTCATTTGCATTTGCCTAAGTTTAAGTTTATTATAAGTTTGCGAGGGGTCGAGAAAAGTGGGGACTTCTATTTTTGTAAATAGTTATAATAAATAGATCTTCATGAAACGGATAAGTATACTTCTAGCCTTAACTATGCATTTTTAAACTCTTTAATATTTCAAGCATGCGTTTAAGTAGACTTTATGTGAATAAACTGAAATTGCATGATTTTTCTGCCATGAATCTTGCACAGATAATATTTTAAATGTCTATTATCACAGTAGGGAATCCATACTCTTATTTCCAAATATATTTTAAAGAGTCTTTAAGTTTACTACATTTTAAATCTTAAGAAAGACGTTTTCTGATAATCGATATTTCGATCTCAGAATTAATTCAACATATTTCTGAATTCTATGCTTATTAATTTTGATACTCTGGATTTCGTTGAAAATCCCCTTGCAACTTAAGCTCTCATTTATATACTTTAAAAAAAAATAGAAAGAATAATCGCTGTGATTACTTTTTCACTTACGAATCGTTTTCTTTACTGGATTTATAACAACGCCTTCCAAAGATTTTCGGCTCATCCTTATTTATTTATCTATCCATTTTCAACTGTGTCAGTATTCGTATTCAGCATCCGCTTTGGCTCCACTTAACCGGAGGCTTCTTTTGTGTGTCCAAACATTTGCATGCCAGTCGTTTGTCCTCTGCCTCATATACATTAAACCCAACCCTCGGAGAACAGCCCACTCACCTTCTCATCCTCCTCCGAACAGACAAATCCCTGGGCGACACCAGCGACATAATCAGCGATTCGTCGGGCGTGGGAACCAACTCGGACTCGGCAGCCTGTTCCATCGGGCACCCCAGCACCACGGTGGTGTGCATGGAGCCATATGTGGGCAACACCGTGGGCCACATTCGCCTCCAGCCCGGCGATGTGATCGAGGTGGTGGGCAGCACCGACTGCGGCCTGCTCGAGGGCTATGTGCGCGGCACCAATCAGTCCGGCTTCTTTCCGGCCGACTGCGTCCAGGAGGTGAGTCTGCGCCAGAAGCACATCACCAACGTGATGACCGCCAGCACGGGCATGGCTCCCCAGCAGCAGCAGCATCTGCAGCAGGCACCAGCTTCCTCGGCCGCCTCCTTCCAGGGATCCCCACAGTTGAGTTTGGGCGGACACTCCGGCAGTTCCAGCACTCTGCTCCAGCAACCCCACCAGTCGCCGTCGCTCTCGGTGGCCAGCAACGGATCCTGCCAGCAGCCGGGCGAGAGCAACGGAGGAGGAGCTCCTGGTAATGGCATGAACAACAGGAGTAACAATCACTCCATGGGACAGTACAGCAGCGCCACTGCACCGCGCATCAAGAAGAGGTAAGGCAATGGGATTCCTTTATAAGAGTAACAAGTTAATTCAAATCTCTTTTCATCCCAAACAGCGCCTACAACGCCCCACGTTCAGTGGTGCTCCATCGGGCCAAGCGTGGCTTCGGTTTCATCCTGCGTGGTGCCAAGGCCAGTTCCCAGCTGATGCAGCTGCGTCCCTCGGAGCGCTTTCCGGCGCTCCAGTACCTGGACGATGTGGATCCAGGTGGAGTGGCGGACATGGCGGGACTTCGTCCAGGTGACTTCCTGCTGACGATCAACGGCGAGGACGTGACCTCCGCCTCGCACGAGCAGGTGGTCGAGATGATCCGCTCGGCGGGTGCTCTGGTCAACTTGACTGTGGTCTCCCCCCAGTTTCCCCACCAGATGCAGGCCAGTGCTCAGTACCTGCCGAGTGGAGCTCGGGCGGGTAGCCAGCACTTGAACAGTGGGCCGAGTACTCCGCAGAGCTCGCACCGTCAGTGCGCCACGTTGCCCAGGAAGATGACGGGTCCAGGTGGATCTGGGGCATCCTCCTCCGGCGGCAGCGTGCGAATGGCTCCGATGCCACCACGCAGGGATCCGAAGACCACTTTGAGTGTGGGCAGAGCCAGGGCCAAGTCCATGGTGGCTGGTCTGGAGAACGGAGGCGAGAAGGAGGACGAATTGCCACACACAAAATCCAACTCGGTGGAGTCGATTGCCACACCCACACCGAGTGGTATCCAAACGGGACCTGGAACTCCCGTTCAGCTGCGTACGGCCAGCATCAAGGCACGGCCCACTTCCAGTAGGATCACGGCTGCGGAGTTGGAGGAGCTCTTCCAGCGGCAGCAAGGCGAGGGCAGTGCGGCGAACGCCAGCCGTTATGCCACCATGATGACCAGCTCCCGTTTCCAGTCGGGCACGGACAGTGGAGCAGCCACTCCGCCCGCCTCCAATGGTTCGCCCATGAGGAGTGGCCCCCTGGTCTACGGCAGTGTGGCGGAGATGAAACGCAAGACGGCGAGGAGCAAGCATGGCACTGGCACCCTTCGTGGCAAGCCCGTGGCCACGCCCACTGTGGGAGCGGGCGGAGCAGGAGGCGGTCGCGACCTCAAGCGGTTCCATTCCACACCCGATTTGCACGGTCCTCAGCTGCACGGCTCTGCTTCATCCATTTGGCAGGCGGCTGGCAAGGGTCACCACTCGCAGGACGATGTGGCCACGCTGCATGCCTCACTGCAACGCTTGAACTCCAACCAAGGAGAGCTCAAACTGGGAGGAGCAGGAGCGGTGCTTCCCCCGCCCAATCACCCACCACCACCACCGCCAGTGGGTCAAGTGGTCAAGGTGGAGACACGCAGCAGTGTTTCGGAGTACGAGAGCACCATCTCCTTGCAGCAGAAGCTGAAGAAGCGTACGGAGAACGATGCGGTGACCAGTGCCGCCATCGATGGCGTCCAGAGCAGCTTCAATCCCTCGGCAAATGCCAAGATCTATGCCTCGCCGCAAGAGCTACGCAACGTGATGGCCTGGAAGTTGCGACAGGCGCAGGAGAAACCATCGCAGGAGACATCCGCTGGCAGCCAGCAACCAGTCAGTCAGTATGCTGCTCCTACGCAGATACGTCCAACTCAACAACAACAACAGCAGCAACAGCAGCAGCAGCAACAACCGCAACAGCCAGCCACAGTATTGGCCTCTCACTATGCCGCTCCTCAAGTGCAGGTGCAAGTGCAACAGGTGCAGCAGCAACCACAGCAGCCTGCACCTCAATCCCCGCCTGCACCACCGCCGCCACAGGCAGCACCAGCTCCAGTACAGAATGGCAATGGAAATGGCAGTACAAGTGTAGCTGGCACGGCACCTCCGATCCCCGAACCGGACTACAGCTGCAGCGAGTCAGATGGCGAGGATGAGAACTCTATTTTGGTGGCACGGAACACGAAGCTCAACGAGAAGATTGCACTGTTCGATGTGCCCGAAACAAGTGGAAATAGTCAGGCTAGGTAAGTGTTATCTACGAATAAAGTATGTATATTGATTTCTAACTAATCTTTGATTTTAAACCTCAACAGTGGAAGCAGTTCCAACTCGGGAAGTGCCTCCATTTCCCATTCACTCTCCGTGGAGGAGATCCAGCGCATTCGCAGCAATCTCAAGACGTCAAAGTCGTCGCCAAATGGTTTTGCCAAGAAGCCAGAGGAGGAGAAACCACAGGAGCAGCAGCAGCAGCAATCCCACCAGCCACCGCAGCAACATTTGCAGCCAGGCGAAGATGAGTGCGACAACAGTAGCTCCGGTGTGAGCAGCGAGCAGGAACAAGTGGCATTGGCCACAGGTGTGACACTGGCAGTGGGTGGAAAGCCCACCGATACCATCAAGAAGAAGCCATCGGTGACCATTGTGGAGGAGCCCAAGACCATTCCCGACCAGCCCATTAGCAACACCAGCCACACCACCAAACCAATGGCCAAGACCACAATCAGCATAGGCGGCGGAGCAAGTGCAGCACCCACTCCCACACTCACGGTGAAGCAACTTGTGCAGCAGCAACATGCACCCGCTATCCAACAGCAGCAGCAGCAACTGGGCAGCAAACAACCGCAACAAGTGTCTGTCGCCAACAGCAACAAGTTCTTGCAACAGAGCAACATCAACAGCAATGTGATGAGCCCCCAGGTTTTGGGACGCATCCCCAACGTGCATCATCATCAGCAGCAGTCGAATCCCAACCAGAAGCTGATCGCCACCCAGCAACAGATCCTGCAGCAGCAGCAACAGCAGATGGCCCACCAGCAACACCTGCAACAGATCCTCAAGGCGAAGGCCGCCGCGGCCGGAGGAGCTAGCAACACTGCCGCCTTGGTGGCCAAGCATCAGCAGAAACTGCACAAGGGCACCAGCAGTGGCCATGAATCTGAGATGGAGACGCGTTCCGATCTGGAGGATGATGACGGAGATCTGAGTCCCTCGCCGCCGGCCAAGGCTTTCCAGCGTCATAATTCGCTAACCCGCAAACAGGCGGCGGCAATTGCCATGCAAAGGGGAGCCACTCGGACCACGGCGGTATCCCTGATGCAACTCCCGCCGCCCCTGGAGGCGGATAGCGATGGCGAGCCCTCGCAGCTCACGCTCCAGCGCCAGCAGGCCCATCACCCGTCACAGACCCACCCACATCCCCACCAGCAGCTGCAGCAACTGCAACAGCAGCAACTTCAGCAGCAGCAGCAGCAACAACTGCAACAGCAGCAGCAGCAACAGCCGATGGCCGCCCACATTGTGGGCATGCTGCCCAGCGGACAGCTGGTGGCTGTTGCCTCTGGCGCTGTTGCTGGCGTTCCGGGCGTTGGGGCGGCTGCGGTGCAGCCGGGCAACAACAATCTGCAGCAGCTGTGCACCGATAATCTGGTGCTGGCGCCACCGCCGCAGTTCTGCGATTGCAACGATGCCAAGCACGCGCCGCAGCCGCATCTGCCAACGAGCCAATATCATCCACAGCAGCAACAGCAACAGCAGCAGCAGCAACAGCAGCAGCAGCAGCAACTGCAGCAGCAACAGCAGCAACAACTGCAACAGCAACTGCAGCAGCAACAGATGCTGCAGATGCACCAGCGGCTGTCCGGCGGTGCTGGCGCTGGAGCTGTGGGCACCTTGGGAAGGGTCCGCATCGTGGGGTCCATGCCCAAGGCCAACCACCATAGGTTGCACTAAACTAAGCCTGGGGAATCAAATCAACCGTTTGCCAAATCGTTACATCGTTAGTTAGTGTTAGTCAACAGTCATTACCACTCACAACGAATAACTGCAACTGCCTGCACCCGAAACAATTCAGACACAATTCAGAGAAATCTGATGTATGGCAAGAGGATGTTCGAACTGCAATTTGTTTGATTTCGAAACCTTTAATTACTTTTATTATATTTATTGCGTGTGATATAAATTTATGTAGGCTGCCCGCGAGCAGCAACTAATCGCTATTTGTAATCGAACAGCAAGAATGTATGCAATATTTTATGATTAGTTAACCGATCCCCAACACCCCCTACTATTGAAAACAAACTGAAAGGCAATCGCCAGAGTTTCATTCTAGAATTTGTTCTTTTAGTTTGCTTTCGAGCTGCACAATGTGTCAAATGTCAATGTGGAATTCGGTCCACATCCGATCTTAGTTCGTAATGTTGAAAGGGCGCAAGCGCCAGGCAAGTTCATTTATTCAGTATCCATCCATTGATCATTCGTGTTCGTGTTCGACTAGTGCACAAAACATTTAAACGACATTAACATTACTCTAATACACAACTAGCGTAGGTTTTATATGCCTAAAGAAAGCAGGGAGGCGGAATTTGCACCGAGTAACAATAATATTTGAATTTGAGCATTTAGCCGAATTTCCAGTCAAGTCAAGTCAACTAAACTAAACTAACAAATACTAAATGAATAAAACGTATAATGTTTTTAAATAAAATATTTATAAAACAAATATTTCAATAGGCGGACAAATTTATAATCGAAAAGAAAAACAAGAAGAAAAAAAATCGAAATTGAAAACAAAACGTAAATTTTTGCTAGTAAAATTTACAGATTTTTACTTTTAACAGATTTTTTGTATAATTGTTTTTTTAGACAAAAACTTTAACTTGCCAGAGTATTACAGGAGGAGATCTAAGATGAAGAAGTAACGTATATTGTATTGAAAGAGGTTCTCAAATATTTGCCAGCGCTTAATGCAAATATCGTCATAGGCAACCCAAACTTATAAATGCGTTTTCACGAGTAACAATTATTATAACTAAGGCTGATTTTATTGCATAATACATACAGAACACAGAAGATATCGAAACAGCATTCGCCTACATACTGAATGAATTATAATGGAGAAAGCAACTAACCACGCAAGCGATTGATGCATTTACATTGTTTAAACAAAAACTTTTTGAGGTATTGCAAGAATTGGATGGAAATATAATGAAATCGTTCGAATTGGCAGGCCGCACCTTTAGCACTAGCATCTAAGTGTTGAAAAGTTAGAAAACCTAAAACTAAACCATAAACATTAACATACGAGTAAATATTGGAAAATTTAGCATCTAATTAGGTTTTAGCACACACTTTTTAGTTCTCGCAATAGTTGCTAATTATTTGTAAATTGTTTTAGTTCCACCACACCCCACACCCCAAGCATACATGTACACAACTATGATTAGCCATCAAGCTTGTTAATTTTTAAGTTAAACCGCCTAGTTAATCCACGTGGAGTGCTCAGTTAAGTCCAACACACATGTAAACCTACTTGCAGTTACCAATATGGGTTCATTACATATAGCTGCAATTACGAATGTGTTGCAAACGCTAAATAGGAGGATTTCTGAATATGCGTATACCCCATGATAATGTTAAACGATTAAAGCTCACACCCCACACATACCCTTTAAATGCAAGTATTTCAAATGGAATAATATGGAAATATTTATCATAAGTCGTAAAATATGCAATTATGTATTATGAACATGCGTATGAAAAATCAATAAATATGAATGAAAACTATAGCAAACCTTTTGTATTTGAATATTGGGATAACTTTCAATTTAGTCGAACTCTCGCTTAAGAAAAATTGCGGAGATCCGGAAAAAATCAACTTTTTTCTCGATTTTTGACCAAAACCCTGGGAAATAATAGGCACATGTTGGAATGGCATACCTTGTTGAATTCGTTATAAAATTTCCAATCGAGTGGCATTCACAGCTCAAAATTTTCATTTTGGTCGGTTTTTCGCCAAAATAGACGATGTAACCCCTTATCAAAAATGCTGAAATCCGGAGATCCGGAAAAATCAACTTTTTTATCGGTTTTTTGATCAAAAACCTGGGAAATAATGGGCACATGTTGGAATGGCATACCTTGTTGAATTCGTTATAAAATTTCCAATCGAGTGGCATTCACAGCTCAAAATTTTCATTTTGGTCGGTTTTTCGCCAAAATAGACGATGTAACCCCTTATCAAAAATGCTGAAATCCGGAGATCCGGAAAAATCAACTTTTTTCTCGGTTTTTTGATCAAAAACCTGGGAAATAATGGGCACATGTTGGAATGGCATACCTTGTTGAATTCGTTATAAAATTTCCAATCGAGTGGCATTCACAGCTCAAAATCTTCATTTTGTTCGGTTTTTCGCCAAAATAGACGATGTAACCCCTTATCAAAAATGCTGAAATCCGGAGATCAAGAAAAATCAACTTTTTTATCGGTTTTTTGATCAAAAACCTGGGAAATAATGGGCACATGTTGGAATGGCATACCTTGTTGAATTCGTTATAAAATTTCCAATCGAGTGGCATTCACAGCTCAAAATTTTCATTTTGGTCGGTTTTTCGCCAAAATAGACGATGTAACCCCTTATCAAAAATGCTGAAATCCGGAGATCCGGAAAAATCAACTTTTTTATCGGTTTTTTGATCAAAAACCTGGGAAATAATGGGCACATGTTGGAATGGCATACCTTGTTGAATTCGTTATAAAATTTCCAATCGAGTGGCATTCACAGCTCGAAATTTTCATTTTGGTCGGTTTTTCGCCAAAATAGATGATGTAACCCCTTCTCAAAAATGCTGAAATCCGGAGATCCGGAAAAATCAACTTTTTTATCGGTTTTTTGATCAAAAACCTGGGAAATAATGGGCACATGTTGGAATGGCATACCTTGTTGAATTCGTTATAAAATTTCCAATCGAGTGGCATTCACAGCTCAAAATTTTCATTTTGGTCGGTTTTTCGCCAAAATAGATGATGTAACCCCTTCTCAAAAATGCTGAAATCCGGAGATCCGGAAAAATCAACTTTTTATCGGTTTTTTGATCAAAAACCTGGGAAATAATGGGCACATGTTGGAATGGCATACCTTGTTGAATTCGTTATAAAATTTCCAATCGAGTGGCATTCACAGCTCAAAATTTTCATTTTTGAAATCCGGAGATCCGGAAAAATCAACTTTTTTCTCGGTTTTTTGATCAAAACCCTATGAAATAATCGTCATGTGTTGGAAAGTCCAAATTTGGTAATTATTTCTTCACCTCTTTCCCAAAAAATAATATCCATAATTGTTTCCAAACTCACAGAGAAAGAGTGCCAGTGAATAAAAACATCATTTAGTTTATTTACAAAAGTAATATTTTTCTATTTTATTTTGTTACTTTCCTTTTTTAATAGTAAAAGAACATTTTTAAATGTTTGTTTTTGCTTCCCAACATTTCGTTCAATCTCGGAGAACAACAGAACGGCAAACAGAAGGCTAACGCACCAATACATTTCGGCTAATCAAATAGAAAACCAAACGCTTGCCCAAATCGATTTTGTTTGGGTGAAATTAATATAGGCTTAAAGCATTGCGATGCTCTTGTCCTTCCTTTGCAGTGTTGAAATGGTAAACACATATTTTATGTTTTGGTTTGCCGCTGGCAGCTGGTTGCTTTCTTGTTAATTGATATCAAGTTCGGATTTGCTTCTGTTTCTCGCCGGGATTGGCCTGAAGTGATCAATGGAACTGCTTAGCGAGGCGGCTTCTGAACACCTTACGATTTTGCTCGCTAGTTTGCTTTCATGGTGAAATATATATGTAATAATAATATGCCATATTGTATATAGTAATAATAGTGTATATATAATTTGCGGTATATAATAGTTATAAACAAATTTTTACTTCGTATCTTTAGCATTAATTACAAACTACAATTCGCGTATTTTATTCATTTATAATTGTAATAGTAAATTTTGTTAGATTTTTATCGTTTTGTTTGTCTGCGGCTTAAATACTTTTCATTAAATTTATTTTATATATTTTTTTGCTAGGCGTGTGCTATGGATTTGTTGCTGTCGATCCTAATTAATGTAAACTCTGCAAAAATGGCTGTGAGCTGTCTGTTACTATATAATTGTGGAAGTGGCAACCGCTGTGCCCGATTCAAAAATTTCTATGGCCTCAACTGAACGTCTAACTTACGGACTTATGGAATTGCTCTAATTAGTTGTCGTACAATAATTTCATTGCTGGAATCTCTGGCGTTTTCATTTGCTTCTTTTCGCGGTTTTTTGATCAAAAACCTGGGAAATAATGGGCACATGTTGGAATGGCATACCTTGTTGAATTCGTTATAAAATTTCCAATCGAGTGGCATTCACAGCTCAAAATTTTCATTTTGGTCGGTTTTTCGCCAAAATAGACGATGTAACCCCTTATCAAAAATGCTGAAATCCGGAGATCCGGAAAAATCAACTTTTTTCTCGGTTTTTTGATCAAAAACCTGGGAAATAATGGGCACATGTTGGAATGGCATACCTTGTTGAATTCGTTATAAAATTTCCAATCGAGTGGCATTCACAGCTCAAAATCTTCATTTTGTTCGGTTTTTCGCCAAAATAGACGATGTAACCCCTTATCAAAAATGCTGAAATCCGGAGATCAAGAAAAATCAACTTTTTTATCGGTTTTTTGATCAAAAACCTGGGAAATAATGGGCACATGTTGGAATGGCATACCTTGTTGAATTCGTTATAAAATTTCCAATCGAGTGGCATTCACAGCTCAAAATTTTCATTTTGGTCGGTTTTTCGCCAAAATAGACGATGTAACCCCTTATCAAAAATGCTGAAATCCGGAGATCCGGAAAAATCAACTTTTTATCGGTTTTTTGATCAAAAACCTGGGAAATAATGGGCACATGTTGGAATGGCATACCTTGTTGAATTCGTTATAAAATTTCCAATCGAGTGGCATTCACAGCTCGAAATTTTCATTTTGGTCGGTTTTTCGCCAAAATAGATGATGTAACCCCTTCTCAAAAATGCTGAAATCCGGAGATCCGGAAAAATCAACTTTTTATCGGTTTTTTGATCAAAAACCTGGGAAATAATGGGCACATGTTGGAATGGCATACCTTGTTGAATTCGTTATAAAATTTCCAATCGAGTGGCATTCACAGCTCAAAATTTTCATTTTGGTCGGTTTTTCGCCAAAATAGATGATGTAACCCCTTCTCAAAAATGCTGAAATCCGGAGATCCGGAAAAATCAACTTTTTTATCGGTTTTTTGATCAAAAACCTGGGAAATAATGGGCACATGTTGGAATGGCATACCTTGTTGAATTCGTTATAAAATTTCCAATCGAGTGGCATTCACAGCTCAAAATTTTCATTTTTGAAATCCGGAGATCCGGAAAAATCAACTTTTTCTCGGTTTTTTGATCAAAACCCTATGAAATAATCGTCATGTGTTGGAAAGTCCAAATTTGGTAATTATTTCTTCACCTCTTTCCCAAAAAATAATATCCATAATTGTTTCCAAACTCACAGAGAAAGAGTGCCAGTGAATAAAAACATCATTTAGTTTATTTACAAAAGTAATATTTTTCTATTTTATTTTGTTACTTTCCTTTTTTAATAGTAAAAGAACATTTTTAAATGTTTGTTTTTGCTTCCCAACATTTCGTTCAATCTCGGAGAACAACAGAACGGCAAACAGAAGGCTAACGCACCAATACATTTCGGCTAATCAAATAGAAAACCAAACGCTTGCCCAAATCGATTTTGTTTGGGTGAAATTAATATAGGCTTAAAGCATTGCGATGCTCTTGTCCTTCCTTTGCAGTGTTGAAATGGTAAACACATATTTTATGTTTTGGTTTGCCGCTGGCAGCTGGTTGCTTTCTTGTTAATTGATATCAAGTTCGGATTTGCTTCTGTTTCTCGCCGGGATTGGCCTGAAGTGATCAATGGAACTGCTTAGCGAGGCGGCTTCTGAACACCTTACGATTTTGCTCGCTAGTTTGCTTTCATGGTGAAATATATATGTAATAATAATATGCCATATTGTATATAGTAATAATAGTGTATATATAATTTGCGGTATATAATAGTTATAAACAAATTTTTACTTCGTATCTTTAGCATTAATTACAAACTACAATTCGCGTATTTTATTCATTTATAATTGTAATAGTAAATTTTGTTAGATTTTTATCGTTTTGTTTGTCTGCGGCTTAAATACTTTTCATTAAATTTATTTTATATATTTTTTTGCTAGGCGTGTGCTATGGATTTGTTGCTGTCGATCCTAATTAATGTAAACTCTGCAAAAATGGCTGTGAGCTGTCTGTTACTATATAATTGTGGAAGTGGCAACCGCTGTGCCCGATTCAAAAATTTCTATGGCCTCAACTGAACGTCTAACTTACGGACTTATGGAATTGCTCTAATTAGTTGTCGTACAATAATTTCATTGCTGGAATCTCTGGCGTTTTCATTTGCTTCTTTTCGCGATTTCTTGTTTGCTCTAATATTGTTCGTCCTCCTCCTCCTCATCTATGTGGGCGTGGCTTGGCTTGGCATGGCATCACTTGGTAATGCGGCCAGGCGCATGTAGTAAATATAAATTTCGATCTCCGCTTATCTCCTCAAACATTTTGTGGCGACTTAGAACTAGTTATATACTCGTAAATTGTTAGCGCTGCTTTTACAGTAATCAAATATATCGGATCGCATACATATGATTTGTATATTATGTATTTGTGGGTGTATATCAATTTATTTAACAAACTACTAATTACGTTTCACTACCAAAAACTACGCATAATATATAGTGTATATTTTTTAAATATGTTTTGTTTTGCGCATTTCTCGCACTGTTGCTCCGCGTTTAAAATTCCATTTAAAAATGAACTCTTCTAAAAAAATTAATGTACAATAATAATTAGAATTATAATAATAATAACTGTTTCTCATTCTCAAATTTATGTTGTTTTTAAAAAGTTCTTCCCTTTCATTTTGCTTTGTGGTCTTCGCATTTTGTTGTTTTCTCATTTGATTCGCTTATTTTTCAATTTGTGTTTTAAGCATTTAAAATATCACCAATATTTTTGCTCTTTATTCTGACAGTTTCTCGATTTTGTTTTCCCATTTTTTTTTTGTTTCTTTCTTTCTTTTAGTTTGTCGATTTTGTTTTTATAAAAATTAAATAAAATTAAATACAATATAAAATGTACAACTATTTTGTGTTTTGTTTTTCGATTTTGTTTTGTTGTTGGTTCTTTTTGCGTTTGCTTCCATTATTTCATCTGGTTGTTTGCTTAAGTAATCAAACGAAATGGGGCGTGCAATCCGCTGGGCGTGGCACTAAAATTTGCATTAAGTACAAGTGCTTAAGTTACACAGCGAGTCTGTGTGTCGGTGTGTATGTGAATTTGAAATCTGTTCGGTTGATTTTAAAGTACTTGCAAATACTTTTCGAATTTCCCTAATTCCCTAGTTCGACCGGTGCATATGGAATGTCTTGCGAACTCTCGCCGGTGCCACGCCCCATTTTGGCGCACGCCTTGGACCTTGGGAACAGCTCTAATAATACATACAATACAATACAATACAATACAGTGGAGCCCGCGAAATTAGAGTACATAGACGAACGAACTTAGCTTAGGAATAAATTCACACACAAATAACAAACAAAATAACTTCGTTGGCAGGAACGGGGGCGGGGCCGAGTGGGGGGGGCGGTAGGGTGGCAGGGCGGTTTGGGTACGGCTGCCCAGGCCAATATAACAACAACAGGCAACAAAATAAAAATCTAAACAAAACTGAGGCAACATCGTGGTGGTTATGGTGGTGGTGGTGGTGGTGGTGGTGGTTGTGTTTGGTGCTGGCTGGAGGTGGTGTTTGAGTGGTTCCCGACAGTCTACGGCATGTTGAAGTCCTGCAGGTTGAAGTTGTCGTTGTCGAGGGAGTTGATCAGATCCTGCGTGGAGAAGTTGCTGTCCACGGGCAGGTTGTCCAAGAATTCGAGACACAAATCATTCGAGTTGGCCACCACCGAGTTGATCGTCTGGCTGATGGAACTGGCGCTGGCAATGGTCGACGCGGAGTTGCCTCCGCCCGCTGCCACGCCTCCGACGCCCACGCCGCCGCCGTTGTTGTTGCTGGCCGAACCGGGCACTCCGCCGCCACCACCGCCCCCCGGACCCATCTGCATCATCTGCTGCTGCTGGTGCGTGGTCGTGGTGGTGCTCTGCACGAACTGCTGCTGCTGCTGCATGGTGATCTGCTGCTGGGTCTGGCTCATGTGCATGCTGGACATCTGCATCTGGCTGGCCATCATGTTGCCCCCGCCGCCGGCCTGTTGCTGCTGCAACAGTTGCTGCATCTGCATGTTGTTGCCGCCACCAGGACCCATGTGCTGCTGCTGTTGCTGCTGCTGCTGCTGTTGTTGCCGCATCAGTTGCTGCTGCATTTGGGCCGGGGTCAGCTGCATTTGCGGCACATTAGGGCCTGACATCATGCCACCAGCATTGGGTCCACTTCCCGCTGCACCATTGGGTGCACCATTCGGCATGAAGTTGCCTGCAAAGGGAGATCAAATCATTATTTAGGATTCTTATAGATATTTTACTAAGAGCTTACCTCCATTAAATCCTCCGGGTCCCTGTCGCATGGGTCCACCAGGACCTGGTCCGCCGAAGCCCATCTGCGTCTGCTGTTGCGTCATCATCATGTGCCGCCACTCCTGCTGCGAACCCATTGGCATGCCATCGGGCGTGACCTGGACATTCGGCGGCCTTTGCTGCTGCTGCGGACCGCCCATTGGTCCGCCCGCTCCGCCGCCATAGGGTACGCCCATTCCGCTCCTGGGACCGCCGCCCGCTCCGCCATGCTGTTGCATATACATCGCATGCTGGGGCCGCATCATCGGACCGGAGGGCGGGATGGGCTGTTGGGTCATGCGCCGCATGGCCGCCGCCTGGGCAGCGCTGTTGGGGAAGCGACCGCCGTTGGCGCCACCGACGCCTCCCACGCCCACACCGCCGACGCCCACGCCGCCGACGCCCACGCCACCGCCGCCCACCGTTTGCTGCATCATCTGCGCCTGCATCAGCTGCGCCTTGGTGGCATTGTACTCGGGCGGTGGTGGACGGGCTCCGGACATGTGCTGCTGCTGCTGCTGCATCGCCTGGGCGCGCATCATCTGCTGCTGCTGCAGGAACTTGGCCTGGTTGGGATTGGGTCCTGGACCGGGCCCCGGAACCTGGCCAGGTCCGCCGCCGCCGCCCCCAACGCCGCCCATCATCATCTGCTGGGCGGTCGGACCGCCAGCGTTGGGGTTTAACTGCATCGGGTTCATGGGTCCGCCCATCTGCATGCCCGGCATGCCGCCCATGGGACCGCCCATCTGATTCATTGCACCGTTGTTGGGACCGCCGGAGCCGGGTCCGCCGACCACGCCTCCATTGCCCACGCCCACACCTACGCCAACGCCCACGCCAACGCCGCCCACACCCACGCCCACTCCGACCTGCGGCTGCTGCATGAGCGGCACATTCGGACCGCTGGCATTGGCCGCCGCTTGCGCCTGCGCCGCTGCCGCCGCCGCTGCTGCAGCCGCCGCCTGCGCTTGCGTCTGACGCTGGCGCATGTTGGGCGGCACCTGCTGCTGCTGGGCGGCCGCCTGTTGCTGCTGCGCTGCCGCCGCTGCTGCCGCCGCCGCCGCCGCCTGCTGCTGCTGGCTGAAGTTCATGCTTTGGCTCTGGGAGAGCGAGAAGCCGTCGGAGGGAACTGGAATGGAAAGAGATGGATGGATAAGATGGGATCAATTTAAATGCTCTATGTTTAATCTTTGGTTTAATATGCATATTAAAATAAAATATATGTGCGTGCAATAAAGAAAGAATTTAAACTACTTTGCTTACCATTTGCATTGCTCATGTTTTGATTTGGTTGCTGCTGCTGCTGTCCGGGATTGGGACCGCCGTTGCCCACGCCCACGCCCACACCAACGCCCACTCCGCCGCCAGCGTTGCCGCCATGCGGCTGTTGCTGCTGCTGCTGGGGATTGGGTCCGTTGTTGCCGCCGGGCTGTTGCTGCTGCTGCTGCTGTTGCGCCTGCTGCTGACTGAAGAAGACACCTTGCTGCGCGGCCACCGAGACGTTGCTCTTCATGTCGCCACTCAGATGCAGATGCTGACCAGCCGACACCTGTTAGAAAATAAGATTGTAGAGAGATATTAGTTATTTGTAGACCTATTTATATATTTTTAGATCAAACATAATATGTAGAAGTGGATAAAAATGCCAATTTGGCATTGAAAATAACCTGCAGAAACATTATTTATTAAAAACTGGAGTTAGGCTTCAAGCACCTATTTATCTTTTATTTATGATTTTGTATGTCAGGGAGCTTTTTTAATTAAAAGATTAATTAAACTGATTCTTAATGTTTATATTAATACTCCGAAGGTTTTGAGGTTTTGAGGTTTTGAAAAAAAGACTCAATTGACTTCAGGCATATCGTGTGGATCTTTGATCTTAGTTGCTTGCGGTGTTTTGGGACATCCACCCACTTTCGACAGGGCACTTGAATGGTTGTCACCGGCTACTGGCACTCTGGTAATTTGCCTGGCATGCCAGTGCGAGGGATTTTCGAGGCTAATACCCGACACATAGCTTGGCATCCATGGGCCCGGAAAAGGGAGGCAGGCCAACACCTTCTCCATTTGCAGCTGTCTCATTTGCTGTCAGCTCGATGTGTCGCCCACGCACACACTCCCACTGCCACACACACACACACACACATATAGTGGGTGGTGGCCTTTCAAGCTTATTATCGCCAGGATGGCTTTCGAATCCGCATTGACTGCCAAACGCACACTTACAAAGTGGGAAAGTGGAAGAAGGAGAAGCCAGTGGCAAGCATAAATCTTTCGGCACTTTTTCATAGTCTACTTTCCTGCGTCCGTCTGTCTGTGTGAGCTCTTCTGCGCGTGTATGTGTGTGCGGGGGATTCCCCCCACTGAGCAGCAAATTTGCCATTCATTTGTTATTGTAATGGGCCGCCCGAAAAAGAGCGTCGAACGACATGCAAAATGAGTGGAGGACAGCGCAAGCGATCGACCCTGGTAGCTTCAATGTCGACTCCCACTTTGCCACTCAACCTTTCCACCCAAAACCCAGAACCCATAACCCAACACCCCCTTTTGCCTTCGAGTGTTTGCCCTCGGAACTCGCCACCTCGAACTGGAATCTGCGGGCTACAAATAAATCTTCTCACCGGACACACCACACACCCTGGAATCGAAGTTTTACATATAGTTTCCACGGCGATTTTCCTGGCTTGGGGGAAAATTCAAGGCTTATTTTCTTCACCCTTCAAGGGGTTTTTACATTTCATGTGTGACCATCAGCAATGGTAATAGCAACAACTGCAACAAACACACCAGCAACATCAAGCGCACTAAGCAACTTTCAGGTTGCGTTTGCCTTTTTGCTATCCATTAGTTTGAAAAGTAAAGGGTATATAGGAATTGGCGTAAAGTTTACTTAAAAAGAATTTTCCATTGAATATTTTAAAAATTATTTTAAAATTTGGTTGAGCTTTAAGAACTTACAAAACTCTTTGTGATAAAATCAAAAACATTAGTTTTTATGTAAGGATTTTAACTATGTACATTTTTGAAAGTGAAGAGCTCAGAAACTATATAATGAAATTAAATTTTATTTTTGATTTTAAGATTTAGTTCATTCCAAGAAGAAGTGTTAATTCATCATTTATTAAAATAGCAATAATGTGTATTCAACTTGTCCACAGGATGTATCCCTAAATACAGGATACCACAATGTCTATCCTTTTAACTACAGCCTTTCTTCCTGTGCCTCCTTCATTTCGCGTTGTTGCTGTAATTGCTTGTTGGTTTAATTTATTGTGTGTTTTCTGCAGCTCCACGCATTTTCATTTCGAACTCGCGTGCGAGCAGGAGGCCAAGAGTGGAGCATGGGGGGAGTGCGAGCGAGAGGGCGCGCGAATGCGAGTGCGAGTGAGTGGCGTAAAGTACGCTGATTAAAAGTCATGGACTCTCGTCGGGGCTAATTGAAGTTTAGTGCCTTGGCTTTGGCATTGGGCGGTGTGTGTGGAGTGTGGTGCTCGGTGTGTGGTAACCTTCTGCGAAACCGCCAAGCAAACACCACCCACAACCCACTCTGTTCGAATGTTGGCCATAAATCATGCCTGCCTGCCTCTCAGAATCTAAAGGTGAGGTGTAAAAAGGCAGCTCAGAGTGCAAAATGGAATAGGCAGGATGTGTGTGGTTATATGCAGACAGAGAAATCTTTTTCCCAACATTTTTAGCTACTATTGTCGTTTTAAAAACAGAAATGATTTATACTTTTTTCAGTAAAATGTGTTTTAAATAAAACACAGAATTCATTTGAAATTTCTACTTCTTATATACTTCACGGCAGACCCTGTTTTTTGGTCAGGCAAAATAACTTGTTGGTTTTAGTACGCCCAAGGATAACCGCTTTTTCCTCTACTTTCGGCCATAAATACATTGCCCAAATGAAGTCGATGGGCCTTGGCTTAACATCGATTGGCTGCGGATCGAAGTCAGGAACAAGTTCATAAAACAAATCATTACAGCAGCTTTCATAAAAAGACAAAAACCCAGCCACCCACTTGCGGATACACCCCCACTAATACATAAAATATCAATAAAAAAAGTTTAAAGGTAACTGCCGAGGACGAGGGGCAAGGGATGTGGGCGGAGGTGGTTGGAGGTTGGGGGCGGGGAACTTGCGGGTAAACCGGAGACGCCGCACGAGCGCGTAAATCCTGCAGCTATTACCCCAGCGCCGCCATATTGATTGCGCTGGAGACAAACACAGATACACGCACACAGTCAAAGAGGAGATACACACACACTCACACACACAGTTACTGGGAGGCAGCAGCAAGGACTCTAAGCAGGAAATGCGCATTTGACAAGCCAAAAAGATTGCCGCACGCCCCACGCGCCGTCAAGGGAATGATATCCCAGGGTGAGAGGGGGTGCCACAGAATCGGGGGCAGGGGGTGCCTTGCATATAGACTTGACAATGATATATGTGACTATCCTGCCAGTGGCCTGCATATGTGTGTGTCTGTGTGTGTGTGTGTGTGACACATGTAAGGCTGGAGTACAACAGTGAGAAGCAAAAAAAAAAAAATGAAAACAAAGATACCAAACGAAGAACATAAAACTCCAAAGGAACTTCGGTCCCCTTTTTTGTTTTTTTGAGGGGTGCTCACATATCCTCAACTCCGCTTGGATGACCAGGCACAACTGTACCCGCCTCGAAAGTGACGAAAACGAAACCCACTTCCAAACTTGTTGCCCACTTGCACTTAAAGTAATTGAAAAACTTGCCAGACCCAACAAGCAGGTGCGAAAAATCTCAACAAGAGGTTTTATGATTAATTATTATTGCAAGCAACCTATCCTTTTCAGGCTTTTCACTTTCCTCAGGGTAGCAATTTCCTAAGCAAAACTATAATTAAAGGTTTGCTTAGGGAACAGTTGTACCTCGAAAACTCAAAATTATTTAGATACACTGGCACTCTAAAATGTAAAATGTACCTATAATATTTCATTTTGTTTAGCTTAGTTCTAAAAACACTCACGAAAGGATTCATTTAAAAATAACTGCTATTACTACATTTTCTAATTTGAATAGCTTTTATTTTTTATACAAAGAAGAGGAAGAAAATGTATTATTTTCCATTAAAAACAGGTAAGTATTTTTATAAAATCTAAATAAAACACAAAACCTATTCGCAAACACTTAAACTTTATTTAGTGTAATTTCTGATGTAGTTAAAGAAGTTGGACTGTAAATGGAGATGGGCAAAAGTAACTCATAAACCACCCACCCACTTAGAGCAGCTTGGCAGCCGACCAAAAATTGAAGAGTCAATGAAATTAGCAAAGAGGGGCCACGCCTACTGACGCCCACTAACAACTGCCCCAACATGATTTAGTCTGGGCTTTAGTTTTGCTCTTTCCCTATTTCGCCGCTGCTTTGCCATATACTTTTTCTTCCTTATTTTTGGCAGCGAAGCCAAAAAATCCAAAATGAAGCCAAGGGAATTCCGAGGAGGGGAGGGGTGGATGGCAGGAGCGGAGGAGCGGAGGATAGCCACCCGTTGGGTGTCTGTCATTGGATATTTGTGTGACATAAACTAGCTGCCTCGACCCCCTCACCCCCGCCGGGGAACTCCTCTGCTCCACTTCACGGCGATCCAATCCAATCCAATCCCATCCAATGAGGTGTCCGCGCTGCGTTATTTAACGAAATTATGACAGGGGGTGGAGGAGGGAGGGTGGGGATGGAGATATGGGAAACGGGCGTAATCCCATTTGGAAAAGCGTTAGAGCAAAGCGAATTTGATTTTTAATTGCCAGCGACAAGCAGGAAAACACAGGACTCCCAAAATGCGATTGCCGAGGGTAGAGAAGGTAATCTAATTTTATTGAAAATTAAAGATTCTTCTAAAGCTAAGAACCTTATTATTAGATATTTAACAGAAGAAAGATTTTCGAATTGCTATGACATCCCAATATTATCTATATAAATTAACATCAAATAATCTTAATGAATTTGATGTTTAATTTGTATGCCGATTGGTAACTAAAGAAAGCTTTATAAATAAAGATCAATCATATTAAAATAAATATCATTAATGATAAGATGATGTATTTCACCTCACTTGTGTTCTAAGCGAATGAAGCAAAATAACTTGATCCCTGTGCAATTCCTTCGAGTTCAATTTGACGTAATTATGCTCACTTACGGTGGCAAATGCCTGGTGCAGATTACTTCCCAGCACACTCTGCATGCCATCCGCATTCCGAGATGCAGGCAATCCTTAACTGTTGGCCAGAGGAGTGGAAATCTCCTGGGCGTGTGATATAACTGCCCCATACACACACACATATGCACTTGCAGGATCCTTCCACATCCACATTCACATTCCCGTCATCATCATCATTGTTGATGCCGACATATCAGCCAACTTTCAGCGAGGCAAGCGGTATGAGTTGTGCCCCTTTTCCTCATTTCGCCCCCCCCTTTCCCCCATTTTCCAGCTGCCACCCAAAGGACCCTATAGTTTTCCTCGTGGGAAGGAGAGAAAAACTTTTGGAACAGTTGCAGTTTGCACACAA